TGTGCTGTACGATTCTATGATTTCATGGATTTTGTCCACATCTGCCTTCCTCATCTGTGATCAAAGATGTGTTGGTTTTAGTGAGAGCCCATTGCATGACTGGGTGTCTCTATCCTTCTCCAATCAACTGTGCAATTACATCACCCAGCCATCTGTAAGACATTACTGGGCCATATGTAAAACCTTAAAATGTTAATTTTGCGGAGTGTGTTGTGTTTGGCCTGGGCTTGCATGTGTGCCAGACATGGGAAACCGCTCTGGAATCCAACAATTCGTGTCCCGGAGGAAGTCTGTACTAACAGAGATAAAACAATAGAGAACTTGTATTAAGAGCCCCATCCTGGGTTTCAAGAGGGAAGTAGATGGGTAAATGAAGGTCAGAGACACACTTTCAGATAACATTTTCTGCTGTCTGTGAACAGTTGATCTCTTATTCACTCACTTTAATGTTTTGTTTCATGGACTTGTGTATTACTTTTGTCCTCAAAACCTGCTCTCACCCGCACAATCTCCATGTCTATCTTGTTTTGCAGTGGAGATGGTTGCATAAGAATATGCATTGTACCTCATAGAATTATACAGCACAGCAGAAGGAGACTATTCGGCTATTCGTGTCTATGCCGGTTCTTTCGAAAGAGCTTCCAAATCAACCCCACTTCCCGCACTCTCCCCATAGCTCTGCAAACATGTCCTCCCCAAATAGCCATCCACTTCTCCCTTGAAAGTTATAATAATAAGCCTTGCCTTTGATATCGCGCTTTTCACGTCTTCTCGACGTCTCAAAGCGCTTCACAGAATAGACTGTGAAGTGAATTGACTGTATATTTGTGGGCGAAACGTGGCAGCCGATTGCGCACAGCGGCGTCTGTCCCACAGACAGTCGTGGGTTGAGTGACCGATTTGTTATTGTTTTATTTTATGTCCATGAAAGAGGAAAACCACCGCTGAGACATAGGTTTTTATGGAACCGATCGGCTCTCAGATTCCAGGCAGTGCCTTCCAGATCCGAACAACTCGCTGGGGGGCCATGAGGGGGAAAATAGGCTTTTTCTCACTTACCCCCACCCTCCCCCCCCACTCCCCTCTCTCGCCCCTCCTCCCCTCCATTCCCCTCTCTCCCCCCCACTCCCCTCTCTCCCCCCTCCTCCCCTCCCCCCCACTCCCCTCTCTCCCCCCCACTCCCCTCTCCTCCTCCCCCCCCCCATTCCCTCTCTCCCCCCCCTCCCCCCTCCCCCCACTCCCCTCTCTCCCCCCCACTCCCCTCTCTCCCCCCCACTCCCCTCTCTCCCCCCCCCCCCCACTCCCTCTCTCCCCCCCTCCCCTTCCCTCCCCCCTCCCCCTCCCCCCCCCCCCTCCCCCCCCCCCCACTCCCCTCTCTCCCCCACTCCCCCCTCTCCCCCCCACTCCCCTCTCCTCCCCCTCTCCCCCCACTCCCCTCTCTCCCCCCTCCCTCCCCCCCCCACTCCCCTCTCTCCCCCCTCCTCCCCCTCCCCCCCCCACTCCCCTCTCTCCCCCCTTCCCCTCTCTCCCCCCCACTCCCCTCTCTCCCCCCCTCCCCTCCCACTCCCCTCCCTCCCCCCCCCCACTCCCCTCTCCCCCTCACCTCTCCCCCCATTCCCCTCTCTCCCCCCACTCCTCCTCCCCTCTCCCACTCCCCTCTCTCCCCCTCTCCCCTCCCCCTCCCACTCCACTCCCCTCTCTCCCCCCACTCCCCTCTCCCCCCACTCCCCTCTCTCTCCCCCCTTCCTCCCCTCCCCCCACTCCCCTCTCTCCCCCACTCCCCTCTCTCCCCCCCACTCCCTCTCTCCCCCCCATTCCCCTCTCTCCCCCCACTCCCTCTCTCCGCCCTCCTCCCCTCCCCCCACTCCCCTCTCCCCCACTCCCCTCTCTCCCCCCTCCTCCCTCCCCCCACTCCCCTCTCCCCCCACTCCCTCTCTCCCCCCACTCCCCTCTCTCCCCCACTCCCCTCTCTCCCCCCCCACTCCCCTCTCTCCCCCCCACTCCCCCTCTCTCCCCCCATTCCCTCTCTCCCCCCCACTCCCTCTCTCCCCCCCACTCCCCTCTCTCCCCCCTCCCCCCTCCCCCCACTCCCCCCTCTCCCCCACTCTCCCCTCTCTCCCCCTCTCCGCCCATCTCTCCCTCTCCCCCTCTCCCCTCTCTCCCCTCTCCCTCCCCCCCACTCCCCTCTCCCCCCACTCCCCTCTCCCCCACTCCCCTCTCCCCCCTCCCCTCCCCTCTCTCCCCCCTCCCCTCTCTCCCCCCTCCTCCCCTCCCCCCCACTCCCCTCTCTCCCCCACTCCCTCTCCCCCCCCCTCCCCCCCACTCCCCTCTCCCCCCCTCCTCCCCTCCCCCCCACTCCCCCCCCCCTCCCCTCTCTCCCCCCCACTCCCCTCTCTCCCCCCCACTCCCTCTCCCCCCCCCACTCCCCCCCCCCACTCCCCCCCCCCCACTCCCCCCCCCACCCTCCCCCCCCACTCCCCCCCCCACTCCCCCCCCACTCCCCCCCCACTCCCCTCCCCCCCCCACTCCCTCTCTCCCCCCCACTCCCCTCTCCCCCACTCCCCTCTCTCCCCCCACTCCCCTCTCTCCCCCCACTCCCTCTCTCCCCCCACTCCCCTCTCCCCCCCACTCCCCTCTCTCCCCCCCCACTCCCCTCCCCCCCCACTCCCCTCTCTCCCCCCACTCCCCTCTCTCCCCCCCACTCCCTCTCCCCCCCACTCCCCCCATCCCCCACACTCCCCTCCCCCACTCCCCTCCGCCCTCACTCCCCTCCCCCACTCCCCTCCGCCCTCACTCCCCTCCCCCCCACACTCCCCTCCCCCACTCCCCTCTCCCCCCTCCTCCCCTCCCCCCACTCCCCTCTCTCCTGTTTCCTGAGGATCCGAAAGAGGAACAGTTTAACACTCACCGCCTCCCACTGTCAACCACAATCAGTCGCTGTGTGCGGAGCGGGTGCGGCGGTCGCTGTGTGCGGAGCTGTGCGGGGCGGGTGGTCGCTGTGTGCGGGGCGGGTGGTCGCTGTGTGCGGGGCTGTGTGCGGGGCTGTGCGGGGCGGGTGGTCGCTGTGTGCGGGCTGTGTGCGGGGCGGGTGGTCGCTGTGTGCGGGGCTGTGCGGGCGGTGGTCGCTGTGTGCGGGCGGGTGGTCGCTGTGTGCGGGGCTGTGTGCGGGGCGGGTCGCTGTGTGCGGCTGTGGCGGGGCTGTGCGGGGCGGGTGGTCGCTGTGTGCGGGCTGTGTGCGGGGCTGTGTGCGGGGCGGGTGGTCGCTGTGTGCGGGGCTGTGTGAGGGGAGGACATGAACTTCTCCTATGAGGAGCTGCCGCTTCCCGCGGAGATCCACAGTGAGGAGCAGATGCGGTATCTCCGGGAGGAGTTTCAGGTTCGGGACGACGATGTCTTCATTGTCACTTACCCCAAATCAGGTGAGTACCGGGTCTGCCCGCGGGGGGGGGGGGGGGGGGGGGGTCTGCCCCGCGGGGGGGGGCGGGGGGGGGGTCTGCCCCGCGGGGGGGTCTGCCCCGCGGGGGGGGGGGGGGGTCTGCCCCCGCGGGGGGGGGGGGGGCGGCAGAGAGTAAGAGAGACACACACAGGTATACAGAGAGTAAGAGAGACACACACAGGTATACAGAGAGTAAGAGAGACACACACAGGTATACAGAGAGTAAGAGAGACACACACAGGTATACAGAGAGTAAGAGAGACACACACAGGTATACAGAGAGTAAGAGAGACACACACAGGTATACAGAGAGTAAGAGAGACACACACAGGTATACAGTCTCTCACTCTCTTCAGACCGGCATGTTAGCGTTCATTGCCAAAGGTTTAGAGTACAAGAGTAGGGAAGTCTTGCTGCAACTGTATAGGGCATTGGTGAGACCGCACCGAGAGTATTGTGTGCAGTTTTGGTCCTTATTTATAAAAGGACATACTTGGCCTCGAGGGGGTGCAGCGTGGATTCACTCGGTTAGTTCCTGGGATGAGGGGTCTGACCTATGAGGAGAGGCTGAATAAACTAGGGCTGTACTCTCTTTAGTACAGAAGAATTAGGGGAGATCTTATTGAAACTTATAAGATTCTTAAAGGGCTGATAAAGTAGTCACTGAGGGTCTGTTTCCCCGGTGGGAGAATCTATAACCAGGGGTCACAGTCTGAAAATTAGGGTCAGCCTTTTGGAACAGAGTTGAGGAAACATTTCTTCACTCAGAGGATAGTGACTTTATGGAATTCACTCCCCCAGAAGGCTGTAGATGCTCAGACCCTGAACATCTTCAAGGCTGAGACTGATAGATTTTTAAAAAACAGAGGGATTAGGGGATATGGGGACAGGGCAGGTAATCAGAGGTCTGAAGATCAGCCATGATCTTATCGAATGGCGGGGCAGCTCGAGGGGCCGAATGGCCGACTCCTCCTAATTCCTATGTTCTTATGTTCTTATACACATACACACACAGGTATACAGAGAGTGAGAGAGACAAACACAAACACACACAGGTGTACAGAGAGTGAGAGAGACAAACACAAACACACACAGGTGTACAGAGAGTGAGAGAGACAAACACACACAGGTGTACAGAGAGTGAGAGACAAACACCCACAGGTATACAGAGGGTGAGAGAGACAAACACCCACAGGTATACAGAGAGTGAGAGAGAGACACACACGCGTATAGAGACAAAGCAAAAGAGAGAGACACACTTGCACAAATAATCCTTGCATTTGATATTACACCTTTTCAGGTCGTTGAGACGTCTCAAAGCGTTTCACAGGATATATTGTCAAGTGGAGCGACTGTGTTTGTGGGCGTGAAACAAAGAGGGACACACGCGTCGGGGTGGGTGGGTGGGGGGGGGGGGGTGGGGGGGTGCGGTCTGGGGTGTCATGAGACCGGACCCCAGCAAAGACTGGATGGGCTGAGGGACCTTTACAGTGTATCCCGTGAAGCACTTTGAGCTACATCAAATGCCAGGTTTATTATTATTGTTATTATTATTATTCCAGGCCTATAACATTCGGTAATTCCACATCTCAAAGTCATACTTAAAGGGCAGCATCTCCACAGAGCGCAGCCTCGTCAGGGCTTCAGTGTTGGAGTCGCATTCTTGTTCTCTGGGATAGAATCAGGATGTGTGAAGTGGGGGGGGGTTCAGCTATTTTTGTTGGGGGGGGGACGCAAGGGGGAGGGGGAGGAGGGGAGCCTGCGTCCCTTTAAGTGAACGAACACAAAGAGCCCCACTCATTGCCGTTGCCAGGCGGGGGGGCTAATGGACAGTAACCCACTTAGAGAGGATTTGTTGGAAGCCGAATGGCTTCAGTCAAGCAAGCGTTGGAGCTGTCACATGATGTCTCTTGGTTAGTTTGATGTGAAATCGCTGCCAACACAAAAGGCGGATCCTGACCTACTTTCGGGAGCCGGGAATGAACATGTAATGGAAACAGGAGCGGGCAGGCTGACCGGGCGTCGCCACGGTAACGCCGCCTTGCCTTGCTCTGGCCGTGCTGTTCTGACAGCTGTGCTTTCAGCTCCGTGATCTCGGCCTCCAGAAGGTGGATAACTTCCTCGTAGTCCATCTCCATCCCCCGGGCTTGACGCTGGGCGGCCTCCGCCACGTGGATTCTTCCCCGCAAAGCCCGGCACTCCTCCACCGCACTCTTCGCTTCCTGAGGCCAACACAGAGACACGGACCACAGAGACCAGTTACATTTCAGACCCAATGGAGTTCCAGAGAGGACCCGAGTTCCATAATAATAATGATGACCCTTGCATTTGATCCAGGGCCTTATCACGTCTTTGAGACGTCTCAAAGTGCTTCCCTCCATACTGTAAAGTGTAGTGACTGTATATTTTATGGGCGAAACGAGGCAGCCAATTGCACGCAGCAGTATCCGCAAACAGTCGGGGATTAAAGTGATCAAATTATTATTTTTTTCTAAACCTTAGGCAAGTTTCCTTACTTCAAACCCCTCTGTTTACCTAACAGTAAATAGGAACTCAGTTGTTAGACAATTGGTGGATTGCTTTTGGTACTAATCCTTCCAAAAAAAAAAATTTGGGCACTCAATCCTCAAGGCTGCGGGGAGAGAGAGCGGGGAGTGGGATTGATTTGAAAGCTCTTTTCAAAGAGCCGACACAGCCATGATGGGCCTCCCTCTATGTTGTATAATTCTATAACTCTATGATTCTGTGAAACGCCTCAACAACATGATAAGGCACTGTATCAAATGCAAGGCTTATTATAGACATTCGCACCCACACGGAGCAAGGCACACACCCAGTCCAATGCTGTCACTGACCTGGGAGTGTGGATGCAGTGTAGAGGAGCTTTACTGTGTCTCTAACCCTATATCTGTACTAATTTATCTTCTATACTAATAAAGATGTCATGTTTGTCTGTGTATCTGACAATCATAAAATAACCAGGGATCTTCTATATTTCATGAGCTATAACAAGCTCATCGCACATGTATGGCAGTTTTGCTTAAGGTGTACACACAGTGTTTATAGCATTTTAAATGGTTTGTGAGTGGGTATCACCGAAGACATTCCATATTGGATTCTTTGGTTGCAAGTGCAGCTGCTATGGGTACAGTTTGTAAGAACATAACAAAAGCTAGACGAAAAAGACCAAGGTCCATGCCTTTGTCACCTCTCAGCTGGACTACTCAAACGCCCTCCTCGCTGGTCTCCACTCCTCCACTATTCATAAAATTCAACTCATTCAAAACTCTGCCGCCCACATTCTCACCTGCACCAAACATCGTACCCCGACTACTCCAGTCCTTGCCACGCTCCACTGGCTCCTGTCACAGAGCGGACCACTTCAAGATCCTCACTCTAGTGTTTAAATCCCTCCATTCCTTGGTCACCCACTATCTCTCTAACCTCCTCTCTCCCACAGCATTACAACAACAACAAGATTCCATTTATAAAGCGCCTTTCACGTCAGGAGGACGTCCCAAGGCGCTGCCTCCGCTCTACTGGGTCCGGCCTCTTCCATGTCTCCTGAATCCTCTGCTCCACCATTGGCGGCCTTGCCTTCAGCAACTACACCCCAAAGCTATGGAACTTCCTCCCTTAATCCCTTCGCCTTGCCCTCTCTTTCCCCATTTTCAGATTGCTCTTAAAGACCTTCCTCTTTGACCGTGCTTATGGTCACCTTCCCCCTCCCCCCGCCTTGGTCTCGGACTCCACAATTCTTAAGCTCTGAGACGCCGCCCAGCTTGGAGCTCGCTATATAAATGTAACTTATTGTTGTTGTAGTTCACCTTCCACCTTCCTGGTAGTTGCATATGTCCCAAATAACTATATCCCATTTCCTAAATTATTCCTAAGTTTTTCCTATAGTGTTATTCCTTAAAAGAAAACGATCTAATCTGTGTTTGAAAGAATCAACATTTCCTGCTTCAATCATCTCCCTCAGGAGCCTGTTCTACAGGTTTTCTATTCACTCATTAAAATAGTGTTTGCGAAGATTTACTCTGAATTTACCCCTTCAATCGCAGGCCGTGTATCCTCTGGTTTTACTATTCTGGACAAGTTGAAGCAGCCTGTCATGATCTATAGTGTTTTGCCCCTTAAGAATCTTAAAGACCGCCTCTCAATCTTCTCTTTTCCGTGTGAATATACCCAATTTACTTAGTTGCTCCTCATAGTCCAGTCCCTCCATTCCCTCAATCATTTTGGTTGTCCTCTTCTGTCTCGATTTCTCCAATATCCTTTTTGTACAGCGGCGACCAGAACTGTACACAGTCTTGAATAAGTATGGTCTCACCAGTGATTTATACTGTGGCAGGATTACCCACTATTTTGACTTGCTATTGATCTTCTGATACATCCCATACCTGGGAGAGTGGACGGACAGTGTAGA